TTTATAATAGTTTATATAATAGTATTTCGAGTTTTAATTTGTATTTAATAACACGGCCTAATGAAAAACAACCTTTATAATTTTTGTAAATACTGATAGGTAATATGGTTGATTAGTTACCGTGTATAAAGATTTTGTAATAATAATAATAATAATAATAATAATAATAGGGCAACTGCGATTGACAACGTTGTGCGCACATTGTACATTCAGCGATAGATTGAACATAGCCAGGTTGTCCCGGTACATAGTATTCGAGCCGTTCCGGTGGCCGCCTTAAGCGCTGGGGTCTCTCACTTGGTTGGACTGGCACTTCTGTCTGCTCTCGGTTATCATCAGGAGGTGCGTCAATGCCTTGGTTACCGTCAACATTGTTGTCATCTAGTAAGTTTCACATTATCCACATTTTGTTCTTCAGACTCGTTCTCACGAAGAATTGGATTTTCATTCCTCAACGCTGCTGGGACGAACATTAGTTCTTCCTCGTCTTCCTCTGACTCTAGGCACTGGCCATTTCTCCCTCCTTCGTTTTCTACTCGCTTTGTTCGACGATCACGTTGCATAGTTTTCTTTACTTCTCGGTCCTGATCATTTTCTCTTTCATCACAGAGATATGGACATGGAAGCAGCAAATTACGGTGCAGTACCCGCGGTGTTCCAAGTCCCGATTCTCGTTTCACTTCATAGACTGGAACGTTTGTACCTTTCTGTTGTGTCACAATATAGATGTCTTTTTCCCAGTATGCTCTTATTTTTCCTGGGCCTCCCGTCTCTCTCAGGTTTCGGACCAAAACTCGGTCACCAGGTTTCAGTAATACCGCTCTAGCTTTCTTGTCAAATTGACGTTTACCCTTCGTGGATGCTTTAGATGCCTTCTGCGATGCTATCTGATGTGCTTGTTCCATAGCTTTACGCCAATTTTCAACGTAAGTCTCGTATGATTGTGCGTGTTCCTTCGATGGACATAAACCAAATAATCGATCAAATGGGAGGGGTGGGTTTCTGCCAAAATCCGGTGGAATCACATCTTGTGCAATTGTAGACATACACTAGTTTGTTCAAGTGATCCGACCATCGAGATTTGTAGGTCTCTGGAAGGGTTCGGACTTCGGAGCATACCAAGAAGAATGCGATTAAAACGTTCCACTTGCCCATTCCCTTGTGGGTGGTAGGGGGTCGTTCTGGAGTGGGTCATACCGCAAAGTTGGTCGAGTTGGTAAAAGAGCTTGTTTTCAAACTCTCCACCTTGGTCGTGGTGGATTGTTTGTGGATAGCCGAATCGAAGGATGAAATCATTGTATACTTTTTGTGCCGCTGTTTTTGCCGACTTGTTTCTTGTTGGGTACGCTTGGGCAAACCTTGTGAAATGGTCCATTATAACTAGGATGTATTCGTACCCTCCTTTACTTTTTTCCAGATGGAGAAAATCAATCGACACCAGTTGAAATGGGGATGTTGTTTCAATTGGATGGAGAGGTTCACGCTGTGTGGTTGCAGGTCGTTTTTGTTTGAGGCAGCAACAAACGTTTTGGACATAATGTTTAATATCTGAATGCATGCTGGGCCAGTAGACTCTAGCTCGGACAAGATCAAAAACTCTTTCATGACCGAGATGTCCCATGTTATCATGAAATTCCTTAAATACATGATGACGAAGTTTTCATGGCCATACCACTTGCTCAATGTCGCCAACGCGTCGGCACAGCAATCCATTTTTCACCAAAAGTCTACTCCGCTCGTGCGGGGGTTGTTGCACAGCAATCGGTTCTCTTTGTTTCACTGTTTGCGGAAGGTTATCGCAGTTGTTTTTTTCAACTGCAAAACTCTTTGGATAACGGGATCGTTCTGCTGAGCTGTGGGGACGTCGGCCGCCTTTGGGCATGGCTTTCCCTGCGTCTCTTTGATAAGTACTGTAGGTTCATCGGTTGGGGTACTGACCCAAGGAGCTTTTTCTTGTATTTGGACACCTGATATCGTTGCCTGGAGAACTTGTTGTGTGGTTTCTTCAGTGCACGACGTCATGTACAAATCCATATCCAAAGACATTCGGGAGAGCGTATCTGCGTCCACATTCGCTTTACCTGGGCGATAACGGATATTGAAGTTGTAGTCAGCTAGCTCACCGATCCATCTAAGACCTGTCGCATTTAATTTGGCTGATGTCAATACGTACGTCAAAGGATTATTGTCCGTGTAAACCGTAAATTGTGGCGCATAATAAAGATAGTCCTTAAACTGTTCGGTTATTGCCCATTTAAGAGCAAGAAATTCGAGTTTACCAGAGTGTGCATGATAATTCTTTTCTGGTGGAGTCAGTGTCCTTGATGCATAAGAAATCACTCTCATCTTTCCGTCTTGTTTTTGGTAAAGGATTTCCCCAAGACCATCCTTTGATGCGTCTGTGTGGACAACATAAGATTTTGAGTAATCAGGATAAGCCATGATAGGTGGGCTTGTTAGAAAGCCGATCAGTTTCTCCAAAGATTCTTGGTGTTTTTGTGTCCAGTGGATCTTTGTGAAGGATGCCAAATGACCATTTTTGCCCCCAGTGGGCCTTGTGCTATTATCCGTGTTGATGAGATCGTACAATGGCTTAGCAATTCGTGAGAAGTTGGGGATATAACGGCGATAATAACCTAGAAGTCCGACTAGGGGTCTTAATTACTTCTCCAATGGTTGTCAGTGTAGTATCCTTCAACGATTCTACAGCCTCGATGCCTTTCGGATCCATAGTATAACCCTGCTCTGACACAATACGTCCCGGAAAACAAACCTCCCGTTTAAACAAATTGCATTTCTGCGGTTTCAGCTTAACGCCGTGTTCCTTTAAACGTCGCAAAACTCTTCGAAGATGATCAACATGTTCATTGAATGTGCGACTAAAAACAATTACATCATCCAAATATGGTATAGCAATTTCATCCCTCAAGTCACCCAAGCAGTGCTCCATGAATCTTTGGAAACTAGCAGGTGCATTCATTAATCTGAACGGGATCCGCACCCATTCATAAAGACCCCACGGGGTGATAAATGCTGTTAGATGTCGACTTCCTTTGTCCATGAAGCCCTGATGATAGGCTTTTCCTTGGTCTAAAACGCTAAACCACGAATTACTACCTATATTGTCTAACGTTTCCTGGACTCGTGGAATTGGATGACGGTCTGGTACTGTTCGGTTATTTTAAATTGTCGTCGTAGTGCACTCGTTAAACCAAAATATGAAGAGTTTTCTGCTAGCATTGTTTTTTTCTTCAGTATTTTGCTTCTTTTTCTAATTTTGCTTTTGCTTCCTCTAGTTCTTTTATTTTACCCTCAACTGCTTGTCTGCTTCTACTTTTTTTCTGCTGTACGTCCCCAGATTCTTGAGCAATCATCTCCTTGCAACGTCCGATAAATCTTGGAGCATTTGTACACGCTGGGTATCTGTTGCCTTTTTATCAAGTTCACCGTCCACAAATTTACACAATAGACCAACCATTTGGGATTTTTTCTCTTTCCAGTTTGCCTTCTCAATGCCGAGACGTTCGGCTATTGGTTTTACAACATCCATGCTCGCTTGACACAGCAACATTTGAAATTGATTTTGTAAATCCTCAATGTCGGCCAAATTGTTTGTTTTATATTCACTTCATACACATATATGTTTGTCTTTTAATAAAACAATCAAAACCAGCTGTTGATATAAAGTTAACACACCCCAATTGTCCAGAAACGAGAGTTCTTGATTAAACTAGTCACAAATGCCACAATTTTGACTGTATAGTACCATTTATACTTGATAATATTCCAGATACCTCGCACAACAATGTACATAAATTATGCAATCACATATTTTCTTCGCTCAAAAATACAAACAAAATAGTCTCTTTTACCTTCAATTATGCTTTTCGTCTCGGTGGGACCTCCAAATTGTTACCCCGCGTTACATTATTACTAAAATAATACCACGAATGACTTTAGTTTGTTTTATTTAAGCTCTGTTTTCTATTTTAAATCACGATATATCGAGTTCGCCTTGTGTTCTCTTCTTTTTCTCTCTAAAACTTCATGTAAACTACATTATTGCGGTTCGCCTAAATACTTCATGTAAACTACATTATTGCGATTCGCATAAATACTTCATGTAAACTACATTATTGCAGTTCGCCAACATAAATATACACCCTATTCTATGCAGGGGTACCTTGAACTAAATAAAAACTACTTCCCAGAATGTATATGGGGAAAATGTTATTACTATATGGGAAAGTGCCCTTTTTTGTCGGAACCGCCACCCCCCCCCC